AGGGGCAGAAGGGGCGCTCCGGGGGCAGCGGGGCACACCTGGTACTGGGCGCTGTCCTCGGGCACCTGGTCCAGCTGTGCTGCCAGCTGTGCCAGCCGCTCGTTGACCCCGTCCATGTGGGCACAGAGCTCCTTGTAGCGCCGCAGCTCCGCCCCGAAATCCGCCTTGTAGCGCTGGCGGTCGCTTGGTGAGCCGATGGGGGGGTACAGCCTGCGGGGACACGGGGACACGGGGACATCACTGGGGACACGGGGACACGGGGACATCACTGGGGACACGGGGACACGGGGACATTGGGGACATGGGGACATCACTGGGGACATGGGGGGCACGGGGGACACGGGGACATCACTGGGGACATTGGGGACATGGGGACATTTGGGTATGGTGGGTGCCCGGGGAGCCGATCGGGGGGTACAGCCTGCGGGGACACCACCGGGGCATCACTGGGGACACGGGGACATGGGGACATCACTGGGGACATGGGGACACAAAATGGGACACTGGGGACACTGAAAATGGGACATGGGGACATTGGGGACACTGGATATGGGACATGGGGACATTGAAAATGGGACATGAGGACACTGGGGGCACTGAAAATGCGACATGGGGACAGTGGGGACACTGAAAATGGGACATGGGGACACTGGGGGCACTGGGGACACTGCGGACACTGGGGACATTGAAAATGGGACATGGGGACACTGGGGACACAAAATGGGACACTGGGGACACTGGGGAGACTGAAAATGGGACATGGGGACAGTGGGGACACTGGGGACACTGTAAATGGGACATGGGGACATTGAGAACACTGGGTATGGGATATGGGACACTGGGGACACTGAAAATGGGACATGGGGACGCTGGGACACGGGGACACGGGACACGGGACACGGGACACAGGGACACGGGACATGGGACACGGGACACGGGACACGGGACACGGGCACGCCGAGCCCCGCTGTCCTGGGCCTCACCTGTGCCACTGCTCGCTGTCGCGCTCGTCGCCGGACTCGGCGGCCGTGGTGGGCTCGGTGTCGTACTGGGAGCACTGGGAGCACTGGGAGCCTTCGCGCTCGGGCTGGCGCCGGCCCCGGCGGCGCCCGCGGCGGGCGGGGGGCTTGGAGGGGGGACGGGCAGCGTCCAGCTCCCCCTCGGGGGGCGAGGGGGGGTCCTGGGGGGGGTCACTGCGGGGACACGGCGGCATCGGACACGGGACACGGGGACACGGGGACACGGGGACACGGGACACGGGGACAC